AATGTACTAAAGCAATGATAAGTTTTCTTACTGGTGAAACGCCAGACCATTGGCTATCAAAAGAAACTCTTTCTCGGTGGAATAAAGAAGTTGCTAAAATATCGCTTTATCAAAATCGGCCAGGAAACCCACATTCAACTTCTTATTTGTATAGTGTAATGGCTGATGAGAGTACAAGAGGAGATAAGAAAGTATTTTTAGTTTGTTTTTCGTATTAGGACGCATATAAAAATCAACTAATGATTACTCTTGCGAAAATAATAGACCTAAATAAATGTAGTGGAGCTATAGTAGCAAAAACAGTAAAAGAAACGTGTGAAGAAAATAACTTAGATCCAAGACAGTGCCAGTTTTGCTTATCGATAATACGGCATACATGTCAGGAAATAAGTCTGGTGCCATCGTGGAATTTAATTTGCAGGCAAATGCATTTTCGTTCAGAATCCTGTGTGGTCTATATGCACTACAAATAGCGTTAGTTGCATTTGAAAATACTGCATTTGAAAAATTAAACACGGTGTCAGGACTATCTTTGCGAGAACATCCTCATAATCTTCTTCAACTTGTTTACTATCTACATGATGGTTATAGCAAAGTAATAAAGACTGTCCATTAAATATGAAATCAAACACGATACGTAAACTATATTGGACGTTTCTAAAATATAACCTACAAAAATATCAAAAACCTATCTCGAGCCAATGGCAATATCAATTAATAACGACAAGTCAATATCTAAAAAATTATGATATTTATAAGCTTTTTGTAACTTGGTTCATTAAACAATTTAATGAATTCAAAAACATACCTGAGGGATATGCTAGGCAATGAAAAGTATTGAATGACTAGATAAATAATATAAAGCTTAATCTTCAAATAAAATGTATGGTGCAATTCGGCAACTTTTTTTATTTGAAATTCTTCGAATTTCTAATCGGATTTGATAATATACCTTGAGTATTAGAAAATAATACATTTAAATGCCTTCTTTCTGGACACTGCGCACATGAACTTACTGATCAAGTTCTGTTTTGGCTTGGTGAACTACGAAATGCAATTAATGACCCCTATATTATTTTTGAGGAACAAATTATTGAAGCACGTTCAAATTTATATGATCAGGAACTTACTGCTTTAATAAATAATTTAAAATCTGGTTTAGAAAAGGCACGAGAAGGATTTTTAAAGTGAATGGATTGCTGGATTCACTTACCTTTAACGATATGTCTATTGGGTGGAAGTAATGGTCCTGATTTTGCACGAAGTGTTTGCTATGTTTTTTT